TGTAACACTGCATATGACACTTGATTATATAGCCAAGGATCATGTATGTCCATAAGATATGTAACATGAAGAAAAGACAATAAAAATTAAAGTAGATAGCTTGATCTATTTAAAAGATATTGTAGAATTTATTAACAATTCTGGCCCCAGGATCATGAAAGATCTTAAGCTTAAGTCAAAATCTTAATGTTGCACTAAAACATTGTAGACATTAAGTAGACCAAAATTAAAATAATTGTCAATATTGCATTACAAAAGTGTTTTTATCTGCAAATTTAGAGATTAATTCAATAATTAATAAATACTTTACAGGCGATTGAAAATTTGACTTAAGTCTAAGTCTGTTTCATGATCCTGGGCCTCATTTAATTTGTAAATTTAATTTTTTGTAAATTTAGGTATGATAATGTGAAGAAGTCAGCATGTACATGTATTGTTAAAAAACCATGTCTCATAAGTTTTTTAACAATACTGACTTCTTCAGATTATCATACCAATTCTTTGGTGTTATAGTTGAAACAATCTCATTCAAGTTAGAAGACATCTTTACATTTTATAATTTTTGGTTACATGTATTCAGTTTTTAATTCAATTTACAATGTGGTTTTTTTTTTTGGATGTCTATACACAAGCATTTACCGGTACATGTATTTAAGTCAATAGAGCACCTGACTAGTGATGCAGGTGTCCCAGGTTAGAATCTCGGTCCAGCCATACATTTTCCTCCTTTCCTGTCACACATGTACAGTTACTATAGCAGATCTGTCTTGAATTTTCCTGAAATATGTATATGAACTTTGAAAAATTATTGACTTCAGAAAATGCTTCTACATGTATACAATAGTTTGTACATTATGGTGTGTAACTTAAGAATATAAGGACTAAAAATTTGAAATCTAATAAATTTATAATAATATAAAACACCTCCCCCCCCCCCTCCTTATTGGAAAAATTTCTGGATTTTCCCTGATACATGTGCAAGTGTAAATTGAAAGGAAAAAATAAGAGACGAAACAAATTAAGCTTTAAATACAAACCAATGGCTACTTTGAAGTTAATGTAAAAAGCACCCTTGATATTCCTCTTTCCAGCTGACACTTGATTTGAATGGCCACATTATTTCCGCAGAGAATGCTGAATACACTGCCTTAGCCTAGTCCATATTTTGCTTCACCTGTAGTATTTAATATTTCTTTTAGTATTTATGATATCTGTTTATAATCAGGGCCCTTTTGAGCAACAACAAATACATACATAATTTATTACATGTGCATAATTATTACATAAACTTGCATTTATTTAAAAATCTTTTGAATACAGCACCATTTAAACTGTAATTTATCATCTATGTATATGGTTCATAAGATAACATGTAAAATACATGTACTTAAATAATATACAATGTTAAGTATTAAACAGGTCCAGTCAATCAGTACATTTATCTGCATAGGTTGAATTACCTACAGACGGCTACTGTAACTTTATCTAGCTACTTTGGGTAGCTTTATTTAGCTATTTCAATGCAACTTTTTACAAATTTGCTTTTTACTTTTTATTTCAAAAAGACAAAAGATCTAGAATTGCAAGTAAATATCCACAATTACTTATACAAGGGATTAATATTTAAAAAGCGATCCAAAGCTGAGAAAGTTTACACATTTCTGCGTTTTAACACTTTAAGCAAAATATGTATTTCTATTGTTTGAGTAACTATACACAGCCTGGTGTGCGTTTAGGCACAGAAAAGTATGATTACTTCACATTGTGCTAAATAATTACCAATCCGGCCTTTATCATGTTCACCAGAAATGTCTGGTCTTGTTATTTCATTCAAGAAGTAAGAGTCTGGTCATAAAATAAGTTTGACTTTGCAGCTAAATAAAACTACTTTAGTTAGGTAAATAAACCTATGTAGGTAATTCAAGCTACGTAGCTAAATCTAGTGATTGTACCAGACCTGTACGTTAAACAAACATGCACCATAGTCGTAATATTCACCTGATGTATCTGAAACGGACACTGCAAACAAAACATTTGTTCTGCAAAATTTTTACTTCTTCCATCATACCAATTAACATCTGCAGGGTCATGGCCTTTAATCAGCTTATGTCTATATTCAAAACCACATCAGACACAGATACCGGCACCCACGTGGTGCTGCAGTCGACAAGGAGTAGTTTCACCAAAATTATGTTCATGGTCAGTTTCAGTCTCATTTTCATTTCGATTCTTATTAAGGTGCTTCAATTTCGAGGACCGTCATGATTAAATATGTATGGAAACTTTGTCTTTTAAACGAGGAAATTTTCTCGACTGCTTCGTCGGCCATCTTGTAGCATAGACAATAATGTGTAAATGAAGATTATTATTTGGCGGCGTTGCGGAATCCGGAAAAACAGCACGTGCTAATATGCGGATTCTATCTATCACGTGATTGCTATCCGTCTCTACCTTAAATCTGGATTCTAAAATGCAAATTAAACTACATCCAATGAAAAAACCGCGATTAAATTCCATTCAAATAGGATTAAGTCAGGGACTATATTATGTTGCAGAAGGTTTTTTTTAAGAAGAAAATGATCAATTTTTTTCCTTTTGAAATATATACAGTACTGTTAAGTTTAGATTCCTAATTTTCCATGCTGGTGGCAAACAGAGCTGTTTTTTGCTGTGAGATATTTTATGCTGGTTCTGAAATACATGTATCTATCAAATTATTTCTTTTGAATTCTTTCATTATATTGTGACAAATATAGTATATATATTCTGAAAGTCCAGGAGAAAATTGAGCCAATTTTAACATAAAATTAACACAATTTTAGTAATATCTAAAAATTTACATCATAGACCCCCACTTTTGTTTTTCTTTTCTGAATATATAAGATAGCTTTGATCAATCTGCTTAAATTCAGCAAAAGTTTAAGACTTTAAAATAATGTTCTTGCTTGTTAAATTTTTAATGCCAGAAAAATCACATTTTGTGAATGCAGAAAGGTCAAATAATTGATTATGCGAAGCAATTTGAAACTTTTTCTTAGTCACAATTTTAATGTGTCTTTTTTAAAATAGACTAATAGTTTATTTTGCCCCATGATTTATTTGGATAAAAACATTGGAGGAAAAACGTCGAAGATGTGATTTTTGATTAAGACACAAATTTCAGTGCAAAAAGGTCATATTAAATGTACTGTAGCGCCAAAAGAAGCATATTGACCTCAATTTTTTGTTTTTATTTTTAATTAAGCTATGTGTGTAGAAACTAAAAATATACTTGACAAAAAAAGTTTAAGACTTTAAATATCAGGATCCAACCTCGTTAAATATAAGTTTGTGTGGTAATTGAATATCATACAGTTTCAAAGTACAGTATCATGAGCTCATAAACATGTAAAAATGCGAATTATCAAAACCCTGCCTCTTAAAATATAAATGTCATGTGTTAAATTAAACTGCCCAGGGTATTGTTTTCAAAGTAGGTCAAAGGTCAAGTGGATTGTAACGTTGGTATTTTTCATGATGTTTTATGCCATACAGTGCACATATTCAGTAGCATAGACTTACCATTTTTAAAAATGTTAAAAACATGCTTATATCGGCATTATAAACTAGATCAAATGCCAAGGACAACGGTTACGAGGTCAGTAACCATGGCAATTTACAAAAGTCATAGTGCCAATATATGTGCAAAATATCAACTCTTTATCTCTTACAGTTGTTGATAAAAAAAAGGTGTGACAGACTGACAAACAGACATTCTTTCATGATCAATTTCTTTAAATTTTATTTTTTGCGAAAAAAATAGCAGATAGTGCAGCTACAATTTATTCTAAAATACTTACAACCTTTATATTTACAACTTTCATCTTACATAACAGCAATATAGCAATAACAACCATGCTTTAATTATAAGATATATAAATAATTGATAATTACATCATTGATAATTACTTCATAGACCTTGAAGAAATGTGCTAAAGAATGCACACACGTGCATGTGATTTAATCCTTTGATGAATTTACAGTTAAAGTAAATAAAACTAGGGTGTTCCAAGGAACGCATGTGTCGCCTGCTTTGTAGCTTCATTAAAGATGTAAATAAATCTAATTAAGCGTAGTTAGCTATTTATTTACTACTAGCGCGATAGTCCATGAATGCACAAAAAAGCATCCACGCATAGTATAAGACTGCGATAGAGTCTGACAAACAAAGAAAATATGATCCCCAACCCTCAAATGAATAATTAAGTTGAAATTATTATAAATAATAATTTATCATTTTACATGTGTTAATACCTGTTTCAAAGTCTTTACACCATGCAATTGTCATTCTACACGATCCGTTGTGGGATACTGATCCCGATGTATTTTCATAACATTTAAATTTCAGTTTGTGTGGTAACTGAATATCATACAGTTGTAAAATACAGTATTATGAGCTCATAAATATGTATAAATGCTGATTATCAACACCCCGCCTCTCAAAATTCAAAAGTTTTAAGTTAAATTAAACTGTTCGGGTTATTTTTGCAATGTAGGTCAGAGGTCAAGGTCAAGTGAATTGTAACGCTGGTATTTTTCATAATGTTTTATGACAATCAGTGCACATGCCCAGTAGCATAGACTTACACCTAAAATATAAAAAAAAATGTGCTGTATATTGGCACTTCTAACTTTTTTGTAAAGTAGGTCAAAGGTCAAGTGCCACAAGGTCGGTAACCATGGCTATGCACAAATGCCATAGTGCCAATCAATATATGTGCAAAATATCAAGTCAATATCTCGTACAGTTCTTGAGATACAAGGTGTGACAGACGGACAGACAGACAGCTAGACAGACAGAAAGACGGACAGACAGACACACAGACAGACAGACGCCGGGTCAAGTGATCCGCCCAGCGACACAAAAAGGGAATTCTTAGTATCAAATAAACCTACTACGTAGAACACAAATATATGGAACAAAGTAGATAAGATTACAATGTATAATATATTCAGTCAGGATGACCCTTAAAGAGGTGACCGTTGTGTTTGTTTTGGCACTCTCAGGGGTTTTTGCCACTGTGAAGGAAGGTTTGATCTGGTTAATTATTAAAGCTTATGAATTTGCGAATAGTCCTTTGCACATTAAAAAAATTGTGTTAACGAAAATTTCCTAATGTAAATTTTAAAGATTTACATATTGACACGACATACAATTGACATGCTATTATAATTATACAATGTCAAGTCCAAAGAATATGCTCAATATGCTTGTTAACTATTACGTGTATCTTTTTTTCTGCTGAAGACAAGATTGCCATCCAGTATAAATCCTTTCCTAATTCATCGACAGAATTAAAAAAAATATTGCAGGACAATTTCTTTCGGATGCTCGTGTATCTGGCAAATATGTGGAATTCTGCAGACTCTTTCAGGATTTCAAAGAAGTTAATAATTTACTTCGAAGATTTCCCAAAAGAATGAAAACAGGCAAGACTATGTGTTCCTCAGTTTTTAAGGACACCTGAGTCACTCAGGTGACCTATTGCTGTTTTTGTCCGTCGTCGTGCGAAGCCCGTCGTGTGTTAACAATTGAACTTGTTCAGCTTCTCTGAAACCGCTAAACTAATTTCAGCCAATATTTGGCATATGATATCTATGGGTGAAGCTAAACAAAATCAATAAATTTCATGAACCCCCCCCCCCCCCGGGCTTAAACCATAAAAATTGAAGGTAGCTTAAAAAAATCTTCTTTACTCCTGGACATCAAACAGTTCAACTATTGGCATGATTGTAATAAGCATCGATACTTTACCAAAATGGTGAAATTCATGAACCCTGTGTATGGTTAACTTTATGTTCTCCAGCACTATTGAATACTTTAGTCTGTATAATGACAGTGACAGAAAGGAGTTATAAATACTAGCAAGTACATGGAAATAGATCTACTTTATGATTTATTTCTGAGTACTAGCTGATCCCTGATTATCCTATTTCTCTTTAGCGCATCATATCTCAATCTCTCACTTTATTTTGTTTTATTTTAATTATACTTCAGTGGATCTTTTATAGTTGTATTATACTCAGGTGAACGGTAAGACCCTTTGGCATTTTGTTTAGGATGCAGGCTGACGGCACGTTATTAAAACAGATCTCAATGCATTAAATGAGTATATTCAAATTTTCAAATGCTAAATGAATAGTCAAACCTCAGTTTCAGAACAAATGAAACGTTATCTACATTATTAATACCAGTAGAATGATATACTTGTGATAATATAATTTGATGATCTCCACTCCTTGCAGGTGAATATGCGATTCTAGATCTATTCAGATGGTGCATCCTAAATGACATTGCAATGCATACCAAATTCTCTGGATCAAAAAGAGCCGATGACAATGGATCGGAGATACCTTTCAAACCCGAAAAAACCGGCCAGCCAGCTGGACCAGGGGCTTCTGGTATTGGAATTTTTCCAGGAACCAAATGGTGTGGACTTGGAAACGAGGCAACGTCGTACACAGATCTAGGTAACGATTAAATCATCAAACATCCTTGAGAATAAAGCATTGAACTGAATACCTTTTTTATTTTAAAGAAGTGGCATTATATATTTTTAAGGAAAATTCAACGCTACAGACGCCTGCTGTAGAACCCACGATCATTGTCCTTACTTCATTGACCACTTTGAGACAAAGTATAACTTCCGCAATCCGTATCCATGGACGCTGAGCCACTGTGATTGTGATAACAAGCTCTACAATTGTCTAAAGGTATTGAAACAAGAGGCCCATGAACCACAATCCCGTGTGTAGAAGTTCCAAGTTGCATTTGGAATTTCCAAGTTAATCACTTGGAATTCTTCATTTGGAATTTCCAAATCACCATTCGGAGTATTGGAACAAATTTCCAAATGGTTCCAAATGACTTCCAAGTTACTTCCAAGTTGTTTCCGAATGACTAAAACTCAGATTTTTCTAGAAATTTCCAAATGACTTCCAAGTTACTTCCAAATGACTTCCGAATGATTATTACAAATGTGATTCAACAAATAAAAACAAGATTTCATTGGCTTATATTTAAACATGTTGTTCAGATAACAAACAACCAGCGATTTGATAATATATACATATCATATTTAAAACACTATTCTTTTGGCATCATTTAATGTTTAATATCCAGTGCATTTGAAAAAGACAAACCTTCCTGGTTAAAGATTATCATGTAAAACTGTTTTTAATTAAAATATTCACAGATATTTTTGCAAAATTCAAATCCAAGTCACAAATGAAGAATAGCGGTAATTTAGGTATTTCCTGGCTTCATGTATTTACGGATGTAATAAAAGTCGAACACGTTGTATTATCATCAGCACACGCACTGACATGACAAGTAATTCCAAAAAAAGACACTTTTCACAGTTTCAGCAATGATCAATCCGATACGGTCTAACTGTTTTTCAAAGAGAAGTGCGACATAAAATGAAGATTTAGATACCACCGAGTCATGAACTTAAAAGATGTTAATTATCTCCATTGCACTACATATACTTCATAGAAGATCAATCCTTTTTTATGCGATCATGATGCAACACTGTTTAGGTTTGAACCGCCTGATTTCAAAATCCACGAGGTCGAGCCCGAGACAAGACCTCGAACCCGATCACCTGATAACATAACATCTGCTCATTAAACATATAGACTAAGTTTCATCTCTGCACTTCCAAATGGTTCCAAATAGATTCCAAATTAAATTCAGATTCTTCCAAAAAAATTCTTCCGAATGACTTGGAAGTACTTGGAATTCCAAATGCTTCCAAATACTTCCAAGTAATTCCAAGTGACTTCCGAATGAGAATCGACGGGGAGTTGGAACTTCTACACACGGGATGCTCATCTAAAACATATTGGCATTGTTATTCGTCAAAAGAATATTTTGAAAATATTTCTTGCTTTTAATCCCATGAAAAATTCTAACCCCTACAATTTGGCCCCACCTTAGACCTAAGAGGTCTTGTCGACCTCTTAACGGAACTTTAGTCCTCAGTGACATGAGGATTCCTGACTATTAATATGACCAAAGTGACCTTGCTGTCCTGGGGAATGTTTTTTTCAAAGAGATATTATCCCCAATTTAAATGTACATGCATCATGTAAGATTGAATCCCAATTTTAGTTCCACCCTAACCATAGTCCATAATTAAACAAACCCGAAAACACACACGAATGTGGAATGTTAACCACGCTGCATTTCATTTCCGGAATTCTGCACTGCATTTCCAACATTTTTTATTTTCATTTCCGGCATTTTTTTTTTTTTTTTTTTTTTACATTTTCGAAATTTTTGGAGGCTACCTTTCTTGCAATTTAATCTTAACTAAGTAGGCAGAAATAGAATTTTAACAGTATATTAATATTACATTTATTTCAGGCCCCATTTTCCAATTAAAAACATTACAATACATGCAGCACTAAGTCTTAAGTACTAGTGTATGATTTAAATGAGCGTGCAATTTTTGTTCACCAAATTTAACGTCCAAATTTAATGTCTGTGACTGCACCGAAAAACAGAATTCCCGCAACAATGATTGCTTTATTCCCTCAACTATAGTTTCTTATATGTCTTATGAATTCCATCTTAACCTATCCAATCTCAAACTTAAACTGAATATCTTGATTTGGAAAAGGGAGGTGAGCAAAAGTTCAGAACACTTACATGTGCCACTGGATAAAAATCATTCCTAAGCTTCTTTAAAAGCTAAGCAGAACTTATTATTTGCATATCAATGAATTATTCTTGGTTTATTCTTTAAATTTTTTATGAGGGAAGTTTCAATTCTGTTTTCATTGCCGGAAAAGTACTATGTGATAAATGTCGGAGATGAAAAATTTTAAATAAGTTCAATATTTTAAAATTAAATTCCGGAAATGAAATGTAGCCATAAACCAATCAGTGGAATTAGTACACATGTAATTTTTTAACTTTATTATTGATAGGAATGTGATATAAAAAAATTATCTTTATGAACATTAAAATCTGAATAAGATAAATTTTACATACATGTATTTCAAGAATTTTTTGATTATGCTTGAAACTGTCGGGCCATGAAAATATTTAATTTGTTTTTTTTTAATTTAAATTTTAAAAAAATATAACTTAAAGGGAAATTCATGTCATAAAGGTAAATACACATTCCTATAAATGATTATTTTAGTCTGTCAACACGACCGCCGCAGACGAGGTGGGAAAGTTGTTTTTCGGACTGCTTAACGTGAACTGTTTTACGTTCCATAAAGGACAGTACTGCCAGCAGGAGCATTGGTCCCATCTTTTCTGCGAGAAATATACAACCGGTGAACGGGCTGTCACTCAAACATTTCCTCACAAATGGAGCGATACTATCGGATAAATATCGTTTTCACAAATATTAAATATTAATGTAAACTTTTTTCCAAATTTTTCCTAAATGATTATTTCTTGATTAAGAGGGTAAGAAGTCTCAATTCATGTTCATCCGTCTGTGAAAATCCTCCATATATATATATATATATATATATATATATATATATATATATATATATATATATATATATATATATATATATATATATATATATATATATATGTATATATATATATATATATTTAGAATTCTGTGTACGCGACCTGGTAGTAGGAAAAGGGGGGGGGGGCGTTCCATAAAATAATTTTGCCGATATATAAAGTAAACTATAGAAAACATTATATTTGCATCCCCTCAATGATAAATATTAACGTCTGATGACCTTTTTTCTTTTGTCAAGGAATTTTTGATTGGTATTAACCCCCCCCCCCCCCAACCGAAATTGTTTCCTTCGGGCACGCATGATACTTGTAAAGTTATTAAATCTTGATATAATGTAACCTGTCATGAGGTATTATAGACCTGATGTATTTTTGCAATTACTCATTCTATCTATATACAATTTATTTATCTATATTTAATTAAACGCATGACAATTGTGTATTAAAATCCTCTGCATATAATATATTGGAGAATGAACTAATACAAAACCCCAGAAAATTTATAAAAGAATTAAATGTTTTATCTCGGTGTGTGCCAAGTTTTACAGAAAATGGATAGCTGTGAAAAACTGACCTAACTACCAAACACGATCGTCCAGTAATAGTACTATATATTAACGTGGTACATGTTTGCTACAAACTCCAAGAAAACTGTTGAAAACCTGGCAATTAACGGAAAATCGTTCGGAGCCCTTTGCTTATGATATTGCAATCCCATGTTGAAACTGTAAAAATCTGCCAATTATCCACACTAACTTTTAGTTAAGTTGTGGTTTAATAGCTCAATATTAAGGGTTGTTGACAACAAATTTCAGCAGTTGAGATTGTGGAATAACCATGTTTATTTCAAAAGAAAAAAAAATCAAGTAAAACAAATAATTCTAAAATTGCAATACATACACTTCATGAATTTTAGTATGATCTAATATTTTTCAACTTTATAGTATTAGTTGCACATGTAAAATGAAAAAAAATTAATTATTAATGATGTTTTTTTTTGTATGATATAAATTTTTAAGAGTTCCAATTTAGGTCTACAAATTACAATAAATAGATTCTTTGTTGACAAAATATGAAAGCAAAAAATTCAAAACCCTTAATTTGGATAGAAACCACGTACATGTACACTCAACTTTTCCCCCATGATCATTAATCATTTAATCTAATTACTTCATATTGTTCTTATAGTTCAAGGTCTGTTAAATAACCATCAATAGTATGCCATCGTCCAAAGTCAATTTGAAACCAACCCAGGAAGTTTCCCGAAGGTGCCTATCAGATTTTGCGGGGGATCACAACCCTGTGACTGGGGTAGTCACCATGTATCTACCTCTAAACAAAAGGACATGTTGTTATGTGCACCGCCTATGACTAATGTCTAATAGTAAATGCAGTTGTAACGTCGACCTTGGTTTTAGAAAAAGAAGTAGAGTATTTAAATATCAATGTCCTTTTAATCTTATTTCCGAATTGATAATTTAAGTATATCTTTTTAAAGTTTTAACAAGGTGCCAAGTTGTAATTAATATTACTCAAGACAGACATGTGACAAATATACTCTGCGGTTTTTTTTAATTCTTTATTTGTTGCCAAACTAAGACGACAGATCATTCAAAAGTGTAATCTCTACATCCAAAGATATAAAATAATGAACAATATCTAAAAATTACAAAAGAGTCGGATTTAAATTGTATGAAGCTGTCTAACAGATTATTGCACCATCATTTGCGATTTATTATTAGACCCATAGTAAAGGGGACGGATGATTGTCGAGGGATTTGAGTACTACAGCCTAACAACAATTATAAACAAAAATAATGTTCACGTAGTAAAAGAGCTTAAATTTTGCCCTGACTCATATAGTACTTCTTTATTTGTTTTGATATGTTAATGATATACCCACGTGATCGTAGCACCTGGCACTTAAGACAAAGCTAAATACTGTATTTTAAATATACATGTATCTTCCGCCGGAGGAGAAGGACTTTGCAGGTAGAGAGGGTACGATTGACCGCTGCTGAAACAGAATGTGTTCCCAAATGCGAAAGCGGGAAATTCGGACCCATTCTAGACATTCTTCTCTGAGCAGAAAAATAGGAAGACAGTGTCGTTTGATCGGGGATGACATGACAAACAGATACAAGATAGTAACAGCAGCAGAGGAGTTCCGGACGGAAGCTCCACACGTGAACTATAACCATAACGTTCTATTTGTTGGACTTGTGAGCTCTCTGCATTTGTTTTTTATTCTTTCACGTTACCGTTAAACTGACAATTTTCAGGAAGCTGGCGAATAGAAGAGAAAAATGATGCATGCGCAGTTTCACATGTGAAACTATAGTTGTTGGACTAGAGACCTCTCTTCTGCATTTTTTTTTATTCTTTCACGTTACTTTTTAACAAGAGTCATCGGTGAATAGAAAATAAAGGTGGAGTACATGTAATATTTTTCGTTGCCAAGACAACTTTCGAAATAACAACTTGGGAACAAGAAACTGGAAATCTCAGATCATATTGATATTGGGCACGCATAAAGATTTTTCCCAAGATTGCAACATGTGAAAATTCAATAAAAATGTATCAATTTCTATACAAGGACAATGAAAAAGAAATCATCTTTCCATTATGAAATGACTCATTCAGTGATATTATTCGTTTGAGGTGCAGATTCCAAGTTCGAAAACTTTTTACAGAAAATGGACAACGAGTCGGAAGGAGATAATCACGAAGGCCGCCAAGAGTGTGTTCAGACTTCAATGTTCTAATTTTGACAAAAAGAACATTTGAGGATGATTTATTTATAATGTGTTCAATTTATGTATAAAATGTTAATTGTTTTTGAATGCTATGGATTTTGTACATTCTTGTATATTTGAAATAATATATTCATAAAAATTTAAGATTTGTTTTTTATTTCAATCAATTTACATGCAATTCCTAGTATTTTATAAGAGTTCCTAGTATTTCATATATGAGTTCCTAGTATCTTATATGAGTTCCTAGTATCTTATATGAGTTCCTAGTATTTTATATGCAGTAATTAAATAGAAATAGATTCTTAATTTCGAAAATTGTTTTTATGCAAGAATATTTATTCAATAGCTCAAGAAGATAATTACATTATGTTTCGTGAAGGAAAGGCCTGTGCATCTAGGTCTTCCGTTTGTAAGTGAATAAAAAAAGAAATATGAAACAGATCCGTAGAACGTGGGGGTGGGGGGGGGGGGGTAGGGTGCCCCCCCCACTTTTTTTTAGTATAGTATTTTGCTATAGTAAATTTTCCTTTAGATGCTGGTCCCCCACTTTTTCATGTTGTAATGCAGAGCACTGTTAATTTCCAGGATTTGGACAGTAAATTATGGATTTTTTTTTGTTTTTTGATTTTGTTTTTTCTTACTTGTTAGATAATTTTCGGAAATTGCCCCCTTCCCACTTCAGGGCAGTTTTTATTGCTTGTCAGATTTTTTTCGGGAAGTTGCCCCCCCCCCTAACTTTTGTAACCGTTGCTAGGGGCCTACGAAATACAGGAAACAGAGATAATCGCATGGAGAAGGGTTATTGAGGGTTATATTTATTCTAATGCAAGCTAACTTTTCTTTGCTAAATGCAGAAATTGAAAGAAAAGTCACGAAAACCTTTATTTGAAATAACTCTCAATGACTAACTAAAGGTGGTCTTAGATTTCATACCAGGGTTGTCTGGTAAAATACATGTAGTGGAGACTGTCAAGTTGTTTACAGTGAAACACATAATCAACACAGCTCTCTTAAATTCTCACTACCCTTAGTGCGTCAAATAAATGTATGCTCAAAGATTTAAAATATGATATTTTATGTAATTTGTGGTAAACTTTACAGCACACTGAATACATGCATTTGATTGATTGTTTTTTGAGAAAAAAATTCCAATGAATCAAGTATATTACTATCTACATTTCTTTATAAGCTCTCCTTGATAAAACGCGTGGCCTTCCATATTAAAAAAAATTGAATATATATATATATATATATATATATATATATATATATATATATATATATATATATATATATATATATATATATATATATATGTATGTATGTATGTATTTGTCCAGACATATATTAAATATATTTATCCAGACATAAACCTCTTTACGCATGGTTTATAGTAAAAATGTGGACCAATTGGCGCAATAAAATCTACAAGTCAATGGACTTTAACATAAGCAGTTAAAGAAAAACAAATCTGTCACAATAACTAAAGAACTTACAAGGGATTTGCGTTAAGGACATACGCAACGTACCTTACCTACTGATAATTTTTCAAGATATTCATAATTTATGATTATAGTGCCAACAGATGTTTGTGGACAAAAAATCAGCATGCATTACTGGGGGTTTTGAAAAGATATCAATTGATGAAAATTCTTGTATAATTCAAAGAAAAATATACAAAACTACATTCTAGATGTCTTGTTTATCCAAACTTGTTTTAGAAGAAGTGTACAAAAGCATATATAGACATTAAAATGTAGCACATAGTTTCTTTAAGTATTGGAACTCTTCAACTCTAGGGAAAAAGACAATAAAGTTCAAACTACGTTGCGTATGTCCTTAAATGTACGTGCGAGGGGTGGCTGCGGGTGCAATACTAATAATCATAAAGATACACGGCATGCATCGGATTTAAAAAAAATTGATTGGACGGTTACTGAGATAATGAAACTTATAATTTCATGTTTCAATTATTGGAACTGGTCGGGTCACCATTTTGAAGAAGGGACACTGGTAGCAAAATTTCGTCCCCCTTCCCCCTCATACATATGTACAGTCATGATATTTTATGGGGGATATGGCTCTGGGGGAAATCGCACTCTATAACTATTAAAAAGA